TATATATATATATATATATATATATATATATATATATATATATACAGTATATATATATACAGTATATATATACATGCGCACACAAAGATGCAAGTACAGAAACAGCACACACACACAGAAACAGGAAGCTGTGCAGGCAGGTTGTCTGGACCGAGGGGAAGCAGCCGCCGTGTTGCGACTCTGTTAACAATACTGAAACGGAAGCTGGTCATAGAACAGGAAGTGGAAAGGCAGATTACACCCACATTCACACCCACACACACCCACACAATCACACACACACACACACACACATCACAGGGTTTTGTCGGTATTAGGGTGAAAAGTCGTTTCTAACCAGCTCTGCAGCTACTGTTGCTAAAGAGATGATCTGGTTAGCACCGGAAACAGCAACGTTGCGACAGAAACGATCCCCAACTGTTTGGTCCCCAACATGATCCAGGGCCTCTGTATGAGTATAATGCTTAATCAAGAGAGAAGTAGAGTCATTTTCTCATAGACTTCTATACAACCAGAGGAGTCGCCCCCCTGGTGGACACTAGAGAGAATGCAGCTTTAAGACACTTCCGTATTGGCTTCGTTCGACAGAACCTGAGGTTGCCGCCTGGTCATAAACCAAAAGCATTGGAGTAATTGAAATGTCTCCTCGATGGTGTGGCTGTAGAGGTAAAGTCAGAGGATCACTAAAGTCAGGAGGGTTCGTCATCTGGGAACTATGAACGTCGATGAAGGGCTCGTTAAAAGGCACAGTCTCTGAAAACGGGCTGCATGTATTTCTCCATGGAGCATGTTGATACTTTCACAGTATTTATATAGCACTTAGACGTGCTTCATAATCACAACGACATGAAACTTCACTTTTTACATTGTGGGACCTTTTAAGCACACAACCATGTCGCCTCTCTGGCTGCTGATATCCAGTGTTATTGCTCTACTCGCTGGGCTGTCTTATGAAATGTTGTGTTTGGTCTCAGAGGAGCAACTCTGGTGAAGCAGTGATATATTAAATGTGAAAGCCCACCGTCAGTTAAAAAGCTTGTGCCAATACTTTAAAGTTTAAAGTGTTGGTGAGTTTGGAGAAAATCCCCCAACTATCAGTCTGTGTGACTGAATGAAGGTGTTTTTTAGTTTATGAATCTGTGATTTATATAATCTTATTTACATTATGTTAAAAGTTTGACATTTTTGGGAATTGCTCTTGCTGAGAGTTAGATGATAAGATTCATAACAATCTTATATCTGTGCGTTGGGTATGAGGCAGAGCCAGGAAGCAATTAGCCTAGCTTAGCAAAAAGACTGGAGACAGGGGTAAACAGCTAGACTGGCTCCTCTGTCCAAAGTAAAATAATCTGCCTACTAGCACCTCTAAAGCTCACTAATTAAAACACCGCATCTCATTTGTCCCTTTTTTTACATTTTGTGACCACATTGAACATAAGTGGGAATGCAATTGCGTTTACAATCGACATATAACAGCTACGCGGGAGGAAATACGTAATTGTGCCCGACCAAACCAACGAGGAAGCAGCCATTAGCCAGTTAGCGAGCTAAGGTGCTAGCATGAAAGCATCAAGAACGCTTGTCAGAGTGGATAGTCAAGACACTTGTGGACGGAGACAAAACGAGTGCCCGCTTTCAATTTGGTCCGACGAAATTATGCAATCGAAACTTGGCAATTCAAAATCGGCAATTCAGTATTTACATTTTTTGGACCAGTGCAATAAGAGTAGGATGTGACGTTGAATGTTCTTGAGCTGGACGGAGCGATCGGATATCAATCAGAACTCAATGTGGACAGATCACCGAATAATACCAGGTGTATATGTAATCAGGTTAAACCATATCTAGATACAATCCGGACACTAGACACTGCTAACTTCACTTACAAGACAGCAAATTGACAATTTAACATTACGGTTTTGTGGAGGACAGAGAATCAGGCTAGCTGTCTTTTTATGCTAAGCTAGGCTAATGAGAGACTGATTTTCTCATGAACATCTTTGAAAAAAAGGGAGTAAGCATATTTCCCAATTCCGAATTATTCCTTCTAAGCTTTGATCAGACACTTCAATACATCATGTTTTAAAAATGAATAACTTTAGACATTAATGCGGTGTAAATACAATATTGGCTTGAATCCCCTAAATAGATGAATCTGCATGAATAAATGAACGATTTTCTCTCTTTAATCAATTACTCTCATCAAAGTTCCCCTGAGACTCCTCAAAAAGCCCCAATAGAACATCGTGAAGTCCAAATGCCACATTTGAAGTCCAAGGAATCTCTGAAGTATTGATCAAACAACTTATTGAGGTATAAATCTCACTTAATGGCACTTTTACAGGATGAAAACAAGCTGAGATTCATGCACGTCTGCCGGACCCTCAGGGAAATGTCCTCTCAAACTCTGTTTACGAGATGCTCCATGCTGACAGGCTGCCGTTTTTGGTTCCTCAGCACATGTTGACTGGTTTCAGTGCAGATGGTTTAGTTTGAGTTATGACCAGAGGAGAGGAAACTTGAGTGGTGGCCCTTTCTCTGTTTTATTTGTACCAGGGTAGATGGTGGTGGTGGTTTCCTTGGAGGTCTGATCCAGGTATCTCATTACTTCCTCTGCTCCAGTGACGGAAGGATGAGAGGGTTAACGTTAAAGTAAACGTGGAGTATTTAGAATTGATGAATGAACTGAGGTTGGCACCATAGATTTCATAGAAGTGGACGTAGTCATCGTGACGTCACCCGTTGGTTTGTGGACTCATGTTTTGAAGCCTCAAGTCCGGCGACTTTGCCGTCGCCATCTTGGACTATGATCGTCGCCATGTTGTTTTTTGCAACCTATAAACGGAAGTTACCATATTTGGATTGCAGAGGAGTGACGAATACGGCTCTGGTAGCGGCAGCGACCTGTCAATCACAGTAAGCCCCGCACTAAAGCATCCCCTTCTTTATGGTCTGTTTGACTCTAAATGGACCATAACTTACTAAATGAACATCATGCTGTATTGAAGAAGACTTGAAACTAGAGATTGAGACCATAAACTCATGTTTACAATGTTTACTGAGGTAATAAATCAAGAGAGAAGTAGAGTCATTTTCTCATAGACTTCTATACAACCAGAGGAGTCGCCCCCTGATGGACACTAGAGAGAATGCAGGGTTAACACATGAAGCATTGAAGTTGGTTGGTACAGTAAAACTCTGTTTATAGAGATGACACCTCTCTTTTAGAGTCAGAGGAGAGAATATTATGGAGATTAGTGACTTAAATGTAGACACACACACACACAGCAAGGAACACTGTGATGCAATGCAGTCTTTACACACTGTTGATTTAATTTGTAAAATGAAACCTAAAGTCAAGTTCTAACCCCAAAATAAATGATTAAAGGAGACATATCGTGCTCATTTTCAGCTTCATATCTGTATTTGGGGTTTCTACTAGAACATGCTTAAATGTTCAAAAACACAGTATTTTACTCATACTCTCCAGCTGAATATAACTTATTTCACATTCTGTCTGACATGCTCTGTTTTAGGGCCTGTCTCTTTAAGAGCCACTCCCCCAAAAATGCCCACTCTACTCTGTTTGGCTTGCGAGGAAAGTATGGCACACCTTTGCTGAACAAGCACTACTTTTCATTATATGTCCGCTTTAAGCTTGTGGGGAAGGTTGTGTTTTTTTTTGTCCCCTGATGGACAGGAAGTCCCCACAATGTGAGTGTGTGAACAGGTGTTTGTCCCCGTATCAGTGCTACTCTCATGCTATTGCCCTTACCCAAACCTTAACCCTAAAACAGCCTTTTGAAAAAGCCAGGACGGGCCAAAAGTCCTCACTGTCAAGGTTTAAAACTCCGAGCCTCACAAAGGATGGAGGACAAGAACAACCCCAAACACATCTGGATGAGACAGGAGCTCTGGCGCCCTCCACTGGATGGCTGCAGAACCATCTCTGTCCACAGTCCTCTCTCTGAACTCTTTATCAAACGTTTATGAAATCAGAAATATTTCTGTCATCCATATGAAATAACAGACCACTTTCTATTTTGAAACGGTATTACTGGATGTCTCTTATTCATGCCATCTACACACACACACATGCACACACACACACACACACACACACACACACGCACACACACACACACAAGGTTAAGCAGCATCTTTTAGTTTCCCTGTCATTTGTAACTCACTGCATACAAATACAATATTTTCATAAGCTCATAAGAAATCATTTTTTGCTGCATTTATTTCATTTTTTTAACATAATGCTGTTATGTTTACTTTCTCTCATAATCCCACACTATTTCTACGTAAAATTTTTAGTTTTAGGGCTCGCCTGGCGAAGGAAGTCGAACGCACCGCGAGGGGCTCACTGTCCCTCACAATGTCTCTTGAGAGACAAGTGAAGACATTTAAACACAACTTGATTTAATTGCTGTTTAAAATATCAATAGTCATATGTTACATATTTATACAACTATCTATATCATTTACTTTGTCTGGTAAAAGTGTTTTATAATAGTTTGTAGTTTATTTTTGGACTTTGTATAAACAAAACTATAAACTTTGACTTGTTTTATTATTTTCATTTACGCTTTAGATTAAAGAAGAGTTCCTACTAAAAATAAATGTAATCTGCTGCCAGAGAGCTGAGTGTCTTTACAGTCGTACACCACCAGAGATCAGTGTTGTACTATCTATCTATCCATCTATCCATCTATCCATCTATCTATCCATCCATCTATCCATCCATCCATCCATCCATCCATCCATTGAATGGTTGAATGACTGTAAGAACAGGCTGTGAGAGTGGTAACACCAAGGTCCGTGTAAATGTGTTTTTTGAGACATATTTGAGCCGTATATCTGCCAAAGACTAAATTAAATCTGCCATATAGTTCTCCCCAGACCATAAATGTGTGTGTGTGTGTGTGTGCTAGTTCTTATAGCTCACAGTGGGCAGCCTTGTTTTCGTCACATTGAATTTGCTCCATTCAAAACAATATTGATTCTGTGTGTGTGTGTGTGTTGAGTCCTTAATGAAGGTGCTGTGATATAATCAAAGCCGATGTATTTAAGTCGCTTTCTTTCTCTTTGTTTTTGTGTTTTTGTATAGACGTTCATTTTCACAGACACGGAGGATGAGGACTTACAGTCAAACGGTGAGCAGCAATCTTAATCTTTTTGAAGTCTCAAATCTAGATTTAGATCTGCTTGCTGTGTATTCTTTCAGTTTTTAAGTCTAGTTCCTCTCTCTCTCGTCAGCAGATTGTATCATCTTTTGCAATAAAAAAACCCCCATTTTTACTTCTTCTAATGATATTAATTTGGTCAGAAAATGTACCGCACAACATAATCGTCCATGTCGACAGTATACTCATGTGAGAAACCTTTGTCCAGGTTACAACGTGGTGGTAACGAGCTGCCAGTCAGATCACAGCCAGCAGGCTCTGTCCTGCAAGATGTCTGCCGAGTACGACGGGTTCATGGCCTCCGACAAGAGGTGAGACAAACCGAGGTCCGTCCGTCATCCGTTCCCACACGGGATTTAAAGATCCCAGTAAAGATTACAAACTTTAATGATCTCCGTGGGGAAATCTGAGGCTGTACTTTAAGCGTTGCGTTGACCTTTGCTCTGTATGCAAAGTGGCTTCTTCAGGCCTCCTTCTCTCTCTTTACAAACAGAGTTTACACCAAACACCAGACAGACAAGACTAGCGACTAACAAGTGAATAAATACTGGAGCATTTAGCATTTATTTAGCAGAGAGGTTGTTCTCAGAAGATGGTGGAGACTAAAAACAGAGCTAAAAGGAGGGTGAATATTGTTAGCTTCATCATAATCATAATCATGAAAACATGTCAGTAGAAAAAGCAGTATGGTTTGAACTCATTATGCTTTCGGCCGACACACAGGATACTGAAGACTGTTGATATTTGTCTTGATTTTTGGAAAATACAATGAGACTCAGCAGCTTGTGTTTGGTGTGTGACTAAAGCTTTCCACTGCTGTCTTGTCATTAAGATGGCAGAGAAAATTAAAGAGCGCTCCCGTTTGGTTCCAGGACCCACTTTGTTATTTGGACTGAAAAGGGGAAGTGAGGCTGTTTGGTTTGGAAGGAAGCCTGTCGTCTTGTCGGGCAGCCATTAGGATGGCAGAGGGAACAAGACAGCACTTCAGTTTGGAACCGACAGCTTTGTCTTTTGGACTCTGATTGTTGCTCCAAACGTGCGTTTGGTTTGAACATCATGTCCAGTCTTCACCTCTTTATTATGTGTCACCCAAAGGCCGCGGACGCTGCTTCCTCGATGGCGGAAGTTACATAATAATTCACATAATAAGGAAACAAAACAACTAAAGAATATAATTTAATTTAATTTATTTTTGTATTGCCCAAAATCACAAATTTGCCTCAGAGGGCTTTACAATCTGTACACATACGACATCCTCTGTCCCGGGACCCTCACATCGAAACAGGAAAAACTCTCTCAAAAACCCTTTAACGGGGAGAAAAGTAGGGAGAGACCTGTGGGAGAGCAACAGAGGAGGGATCCCTCTCCCAGGATGGACAGAAGTGCAATAGATGTCATGTGTACAGAATGAACAACATAACAGAGTTACAACACATTCAATGGATATGACAGAACCACGGCAGGAGCCAAGACCAAGGTCCAGGTATAGCCAGGATCCGCGGGAACCTGCGAGGCGAGAAAGCACAAAACACTCCAGGGAAGAAGCAAAGTCAGAAATGTGCGTAAATGGTATCGGTAACAGAATTAATAATATTAAGAATAAAAGATGGTAGAAGCAGTAGGTGTCAGCAGGGCCATGGCGGGAGGAAGGACCAGGGTCCCGATAAAACCACGATCCATGGAAACCTAACAGAGGCTTCTCACGTCCTCTTCACCTCTGGGTAGCTTTATTATGGCTAACCCAAAGGCTGCGGACACTGCTCCCTCGATGGCGAGCAGGTCGGAAGTTACTAGCACCTCGAGCCATGCTCACAATTAATCCATAATAATCCAGCTGCACATCTCCAAGAAAAGAGAGAAAGATATATTTTTACTATTGTAGTTGCATACTGTAGCCTCAACAAGAGATGCCACTTTAATTGGTAATACCAATACTATCTACTAGGGGTGGGGGGGAAATCGATACAGCATAGTATCGCGATATTTTGCGTGGCGATATGGTATCGATACATGGAAGCCAAGTATCGATGTTTTATTATATAAACTATAAATAAAAAATAAAATCAATTGCTTTTTCAGTCCACTAGGTGGTGCTGAGTTGTTTTCTGGTGAGGTCAGCAGAGATGCCGGGTCAGCGTGATTGGTCGGAAGTTGGTCAAAACAAAGATGAAGACATCGGAGAAAGAAATCAGAAATGCGCCGTCTGCGTTTAAATCAGTCGTCTGGCCTTATTTTGGATTTTTTAACAAGGAAGGGAAGAAGGACAGGACGATTTTGCTGCAATAAAAATGATTGAAGTGAGATGAACAGACTGAAAACTGTGTCTTTTTAGATGTAGCCCGGCGAAGTGGGGGTAGGAAGGTTTTTGTACTGTCCCTGATAGATATGACTTACGTGCAGGGTTAGTGACAGTGACAGATGCTGCTCTTATTTTAGGCGTACTGTCACTTTAAGAACAATGAGCGCGAGAGCACGGAGTTCACGTGAGATGTAGGACTACAGAGCGGGAATCAGAGGCTACTGAGGACCGAGCGTTAGCTTTTAGCATCCACTGAACTGAAGGGAAAGACCTGAACAACGGGCCAGCGTAAGTAGCGGGAGAAGTTACTAATGAATGCTGAATCACCTTGTAATTGGGCTTGTTAACTGTTTAGAGACATGGTGTTGAGTTGTATGCATCTGCCTCATTTAGAGGGGAGACAGAAGCTGCCGTGAGTTCCGTGTGTGTGGGTCCGAGCACACAGGCCGAGTACTGATTATGGGAGTGAGTTCATTATTTTAACAATAATTGTGTTCCTGTGAAATAAAAGTTATCTACATATCTCAGAGAGTTGAACAGCATGAGACTGATGCAGAGGTTCTTTGTTTCTGCTTAACAGGAGTAGGTCACTACTGTTGTTTTTCTATGTAGCTTTAGAATATAGTGTTTCCAGTTGAATTGTAATTCTGAAGAGAGTGGGGAGCAGTTGTTTAATTTTGCTGTCAATTGATCTGTACCTTTTTAAAATTTAAAACATGTTGAGACAGTTTTCCTTTGGGGACATAATTTGAAGTTGAAAAAAGTAATAAATCGCAATATATGTTATCGCAATACTCGGCATATCGCAGTATCGTGATAATATCGTATCGCGGGATCTTTGGTGATTCCCACCCCTAGCAACTACTAATATTTATATCATCACATTTCACAATTAATCTGGGAAGTAGTTTTTGAGTGACAGATTTCAATTTTTCAAAGATTAAGACGTACTGTAAGACATGTAAATGTAAATAAGGTGCTAGAGTGAATAAAATAGCATCACCAGGCTAATCCTATACATGTGTT